CCACATTCATTACACTTATAAGGTTTCTCTCCAGTGTGAATTCTCTGATGGAGAATAAGTTCTGTGCTTCTGCAGAAAGCCTTCCCACATTCGCTACATTCATATGGTGTCTCTCCAGTGTGAATCTTGTGATGAAGAGTAAGACTTCTGCTTAGGACAAAAACCTTCCCACACTCACTGCATTCATAAGATTTCTCTCTTCTAGCGTGAATTCTCTGATGTTTAAAAAGGTCTGATCTCTGGCAGAAGGCCCTTTCACATTTATTACACTTATATGGTTTCTCTCCAGTATGAATTCTCTGATGCACCTGAAGGTTTGTTTTTTGACTGAAGACCATCCCACAGTCATTACATTTATAAGACTTTTCTCCAAGATGAATTCTCTGATGCATACTAAGTTGTGAGATCAACTGGAATGCCTTTCCACATTCCTTACATTCATAAGCCTTCTTTCCAATATGACTCCTCTTATGTGCAGCAAGATGTGTACTTTTGTGAAAGAACTTCCCACATTCATTACATTTATAAAGTTTCTCTCCAGTGTGAGCTCTCTGGTGGAGAGTAAGTTTTGTGCTTTGAAAGAAAGCTTTCCCATAATCATATGGTGTCCCTCCTGTATGAATCTTCTGATGAAGAGTAAGACTTCTACTCTGGGCAAAGGCCTTCCCACATTCACTACATGCATAAGGTTTCTCTCCAGTATGAATTCTCTGATGTTGAGTAAGGTCTGAGCTCTGGTGGAAGGCTTTTTCACATTTATTACATTCATATGGTTTATCTCCAGTATGAATTCTCTGATGTATCTTAAGGTTTGTTTTCTGACTAAAGACCTTCCCACATTCATTACATTTATAAGGTTTTTCTCCAAGATGAATTCTCTGATGTATGGTAAGTTGTGAGCTCAGTCGGAAAGCTTTCCCACATTCATTACATTTGTGAGGCTTATGTCCAGTGTGGATTGACTGATGTTCAGTAAGCTTTGCTCTCCGGTGGAACACCTTCCCACATTGATCACACTCATATGGCTTTTCTCCAGTATGAATTCTCTGATGTTGAGTGAGGTGTGAACTCTGGTGGAAAGCTTTCCCACATTCATTACATTCAAAAGGTTTCTCTCCCATGTGAATTCTCCAGTGGAGAATAAGGTTTCTACTCTGGCTGAAGGCCTTCCCACATTCCTTACATTCATAAGGCTTCTCTCCAGTATGACTTCTCTGATGTACAATAAGATGTGAATTCTGGCGGAAAAATTTCCCACATCCATTACATTTATATGGTTTTTCTCCAGTGTGAACTCTCTGATGGAGAGTAAGTTCTGTGCTTCTGCAGAAAGCCTTCCCACATTCATTACATTCAAAAGGTCTCTCTCCAGTATGACTTTTTTGATGTACTACAAGATGTGCACTCTGGCGGAAGAACTTTCCACATTCATTACATTTATATGGTTTCTCTCCAGTGTGAATTCTCTGATGGAGAATAAGTTCTGTGCTTCGGCAGAAAGCCTTCCCACATTCGCTACATTCATATGGTATATCTCCAGTGTGAATTTTCTGATGAAGAATAAGGCTCCTACTCCGAGTGAAGGCCTTCCCACATTGATTACATTCATAAGGTTTCTCTCCAGTGTGACTTTTCTGATGTACACTAAGGTGTGCACTTTGGCGGAAGAATTTCCCACATTCTTTACATTCATATGGTTTCTCTCCAGTGTGAATTTTCTGATGGAGAATAAGATTTCTGCTTCTGAGGAAGAATTTCCCACATTCATTACACTTATAAGGTTTTTCTCCAGTATGAATTCTCTGGTGTTGAACAAGCTCTGAGCTCTGACAGAAGACTTTGCCACATTCACTACATTCATGAGGTTTCCCTCTAGAATGTATTCTATCATTTTCAGTAAGATCTGAATTGTAACTTAAAAAGTAATTAAGTTCATTATGCTTAAAAATAATCTTATTCTTGGAGGAAGTTCTATTATCATGTTGTTTTAAGTTTGAACATGGACTTAAGCTTTTTCTATAAATATCAAATTCATAGAGACTTCTTCCTATGCTTACTGTCTGTGGTGGAAAAAGTACTAACGCTGATATGAAGCGTCTGTAATTTTTATCATATTCACTGCCTTTCACTTCATCTGGAGATTTGTTTTGGATTATTTTCACTTGCTGGAAAAGTTGTTCCTTACTGCTCTGCTGTCTTTCTGAACTGGCATCAAATTCACAGGCTTCTTCCAACCTGAAGACATAGGCACTATCCCTTCTAAATCTTTCCTGGGATAAGTCTTCCGAAGAGAAGCCCAGCTTTAAAGATGACTCCTTGATTTCAGGCCGAGTAATCCAATCTGAAAGAAATAAAACACAGAAGTATCCTCTCATCTCCTACTCTCATTTGTGTCCTCCATCAAGATTACTACACTTGAAATGAATGAGAAAAACAATGCACCAGTAACATAACCTTACATCGGGAAAAGAGCTGTAAAGGAAACTATCACCAAGCTTCAGAAGATTTCTATATGAGAATGTATTTGTACAGGTGAATATAAATTATTAACATTATTTAGGGATGGGGAAACAAGTTATTTTACTTTACAAATAAAGAAGTTGAGGATCAGAGTAATTTAATGACACGCTTCAGTCACATCAGTAAATGCTGCTGTGTAAGGCTTGAACCCAGTCTTTTGACTCCAATTGTCTTGAATCTCTGTCTGGTGCCTGGAGCATTTCTAATTGTGCTAATTTCTAATGGGCTGAATAGGGAAAGGCAATTGGAAGCTAGATAGAATCCACTCTGAGCTCCATATAAATAACAAATCTGTCAGTATTTATGGCTGTCCACCATCAGATGGAATGCCAAGGTCAATGGAGACCTGAGTGATCACCTAATGTCCGACTGGTACTTGGCATAAAAATGGAGAAATAAATCTCACATTCTAATGAAGGAGACAACATGCAGGTAAGCACAAATGTATGTCAGGGAAGCCAAGAGGTAGAAGTCAAGAAGGGAGAGCTTTCTAGGCACAGGGAACAGTCAGAAAAACTGCTCGGTCCAGAGATGAAGTTTCCTACGTGACAACAATCAGGCCAGGAGCTGTGTCACGGTGTTTGGAGGATCTAAGAAGATGATGGTGGAAGGATGGCATTAAAGACTGAAGAGCTCGGAATGCCAAATACAGGACTTCCATTTTAGCTGGGCAGTATCAGGGAGCTGAGGGAACCCGAGAGCCTCCAGCACCTGCTCTATAACGTGCCGCAGAAATCAAGGGTTAGAACCCTAACAGTGTCTTGGTCTCCCGTATATCAGTGACCAGATCAAAAGAGAGGGGATTATTTATTCTTCAGGAAGTCAGAACCCATGACTAGTTGAAAAAAAGAGCGTCTTTATTAACCTGACTTTTTTTTTTTCAAGGAAATGACACTATTACTGTTCTGTTGGATAATTCAAAACCATCACTGAAAACTGGGCATTTATGTCTTTTCATTGTTTCTGAAATGTATCTTGTTTCATAATTATAAAATATGAGATACAAACTGCTTCTTCAAGCCAACTGCATATACAATAATCAAGTGGTTTCAGACAGCCTCTATTTAAACACAGACTGAAGGTGCCTATTTTCCTTGAAAAGAAACAGGTCCTTTTATTTAAAGTTAATATGTAGGAAAATGACAAATCCTGAAAAAACTGTAGAAAAAGAATCACACAAATCCGCTGTGGTAGAGCTGAGAACTAGCAGCCACGGGGAAACAATTTGGAACTACACCCTAAATGTTACTAAACTGTGCATATCCTTTGAACCAGTGATAGGCCCATACACATGAAAAGATCAAAGAGAAGTGAAAAGGACCCATATATAAAAATATTTATAACAGCTTTTTTTTTGGTAGCAAAGAACTGGAAACTGTGCAAGTAGCCACCAACTGGGAAATTGCTAAAAAAAAAAAAATAGAAAAGCAATGGAAGATGAATGTGAAAGAATACTACTGTTATATAAAAAATGAGGAAAGGGAAAGTTTCAAAGAAACCTGGGAAGGCTTGTATGAACTAATGCAGTCTGAAGCGAGCAGAAGTAGGGGGTCAATTTACACCAGGATATCGACCCTGAAATCAAACTTCTGATCAGACCCGATTCCAAAGTGAGGCCCGCCCAGAGGCAACGGACGGCTGCTCAGCATGAGGCGCACACCTTCAGACAAAGCCAAATGGAGACTGGGCTGTGCTTGACTAGGCATATTTGTTTCCCCTTTTTTTTTTCCTCCCAATGGGAAGAAAAAGAAATCCTTAATAACTAAGAAGAAAAATAATAAAAAATAAAGTTAACATTCACATTAAGGAGAGAGACCAAATGAATAATAAACTGTCCATGGAACTGAGACAAGAAAAGTACTGCGGAGAACATGGGAACCCCAAGAGAAGGAGAGCAAAAAGACCAGTCCCCTCGAAGAGCCACTCTCCCAGCCCAGCAGGACACACAAGGACAAAATGATCAATATTCGAGCTTTCTCAGAATCAGATGAAAGTCTATGAAGGAGCTCATCCCGTTCATCACTATACTCCTGGGGGTCT